GGAGATGGAATTCACATCCCATGGAATCCCAGGCTGCTTTGGGGTGGGAGAATCATCAAAAATTATTTTTGTTCCCACCATTCCATAGCTGGGAACAGTGTAGGACTCTCAGGCTGGTTTGGGGTGGGAGAATCCTTAAAAATGATTTTGTTCCAGCCATTCCATGGTTGGGAGCAGTGTAGGAATCCCAGGCTGGTTTGAGGTGGAAAAATCCTTAAAAATTATTTTTGTTCCAACCCTTCCATGATTGGGAATAGTGTGGAACTCCCAGGCTGATTTGGGTTGGAAGAATCCTTAAAAATGATTTTGTTCCAATCATTCCACGGACAGGGACAGTGTAGGAATCCCAGGCTGGTTTGGGGTGGAAGAATCCTTAAAAATGATTTTTTTCCAACCATTCCATAGCTGGGAACAGTGTAGGACTCTCAGGCTTGTTTGGAATAGGAGAATCCTTAAACATTATTTTTTTCCAATCATTCTATGGTTGGGAACAGTGTAGGACTCCCAGGCTGGTTTGAGGTGGAAAAATCCTTAAAAATTATTTTTGTTCCAACCCTTCCATGGTTGGGAATAGTGTGGAACTCCCAGGCTGATTTGGGTTGGAAGAATCCTTAAAAATTATTTTTTTCCAATCATTCTATGGTTGGGAACAGTGTAGGACTCCCAGGCTGGTTTGGGGTGGAAAAATCCTTAAAAATTATTTTTGTTCCAACCCTTCCATGGTTGGGAATAGTGTGGAACTCCCAGGCTGATTTAGGTTGGAAGAATCCTTAAAAATTATTTTTTTCCAATCATTCTATGATTTGGAACAGTGTAGGACTCCCAGGCTGGTTTGGGGTGGAAGAATCCTTAAAAATGATTTTGTTCCAATCATTCCACGGACAGGGACAGTGTAGGAATCCCAGGCTGGTTTGAGGTGGAAAAATCCTTAAAAATTATTTTTTTCCAACCATTCCATGGGCAGGGACAGCCTCCAGTGGCCCATCTTGCCCCCNCTCACCTTTGTATATTCAACAAAATTCAGGTTATCAGGAGAGAGAATGAGTGTAGTTTGTTATGCTGTAATTTGCTAATTAGTGCCATGATCCCCCATGATATTTAATATCTTTTGCTCAAAGGAGCATTTTCATCTCTTAAATGAGCTTCAAACTGAATTTACCCTTCAGCGTGGTAGGTGAGGCATCAGCTTCTCTTTCCTTTTCCTCACAACTTCATTGCTCTCCAAAAATATCTTACTTTATGTTTAGCAGTCATCGATTTCTGGCCTAAATATTAGCCCGGACTTGACACAAACTCTTTCACATATTTTCTCCAACTTTGTGTTAAATTTTTTGGGTTTTGTTTTGAAATTTCAGATTTGAGATGTTTTGAAATTGAAATTTACTCTCCATGGAGTTTTTTTTGCAGTCCTTACCTGCTTTATGTCTTTATGTTGTGGCCTCCATTTTTCCAGAGAAATTTCCCTCTACAAAAGCTCTGTTTATCCTTGTGGAGCAGCATTTCTGACAATATTTTATGGACAAAAAGCTTCCCAAACGAAGTGAAACATTCAGCCTCTCTCAAAACCCCAAGGGGTTTGGGTTTTTCTGTTTATGGAATGATTCATTTCAAATCCCTCTATTAAACTGCATTTTCCTATGGTGGCCTCATGCCCCCAGGGGAGGTTTTGGTTCCCAAATCTCAGCTCCAGGCTTGGACTGGGCTTGGGAGATGGAATTCACATCCCATGGAATCCCAGGCTGCTTTGGGGTGGGAGAATCATCAAAAATTATTTTTGTTCCCACCATTCCATAG